CGGTCCCTCCCGGTGCTGCCACACTCACACTCTGAAAAAAGAAGCGCCTTATCAGAAGGAGACTAACCATAGACAGGGCCTGATAAGGACCCTGAGCAGAGGGGTCAGCTGACCGCTGGCTCCCTGAGGTGCTGGGAGCGGGGACAGAGCCAGAAGCTGGAGACACGGGGTCTGGCCTCCCTCGGGGTGTGGGAGTCCTGTGCAGGGGGCACGTGTAAGCCCCCACACCTGAACGCTGGCCGGTGGGAGGCCTTGTAAGCCCCCACGCCTGAACGCTGGCCGGTGGGAGGATGTAGCCCCCCCACGCCTGAACGCTGGCCGGTGGGAAGACCTGTGTGATGAACATGCCGGTGGGAGGCCTTGTAAGCCCCCACGCCTGAACGCTGGCCGGTGGGAGGACCTGTAGCCCCCACGCCTGAACGCTGGCCGGTGGGAGGACCTGTAGCCCCCACGCCTGAACGCTGGCCAGTGGGAGGACCTGTAAGCCCCCACGCCTGAATGCTGGCCGATGGGAAGACCTGTGTGATGAACATACCGTGTTGGGGAAATGAGGTGAGTTCCTGTCTCAATAGTTGTGCTGAGCAACAGAAATCCGGGAAAAGATGACAGACTTTCAGTCAAGACCTTGCACCTCACTGTAGTGACCCAGCTGGCATCACCTTGGCCCTGTCTCCTGGGTCTCGGGCACCAGAGTCACCAACCGCTGTGCTGCGGTCATCGATACACCACGGAGTGCACACTCAGTGGCTTGTTCGGTAAATCCATGGGATGCGATCCTCACACCATCCATTTTCCATCACGTTCTTCACCCCGAGGCACCAGCAGTCACTCCCGCCTCCTGAGTCTGAGGCACTCAGACTCAGGCCCGCAGGACATCTCCACGGACAGAACGTCGTCACTGCAGCCACAGCGCACACAGCGCACAGCTCCCCTCATCCCCTCACCTGACAGTGACTTATTTGGACACTGTGTTCTGTGTGGCCACGTGCAGGCAGGGAGGGCAACCACAGGCCTTCCTGAGGTGCCAGCCGGGAAACGCCCCAAGCACTGGCACCACCGCTGGGCACCGGAGTGCACAGCGACAGGACAGCAGAGCCGG